CGTGAATAGTACACCAGCAAACAGTACGTAGATACTACCCGAGCAAGCAGTAAGTAGATACTACACTAGTAAACAGTACGTAGATACACCAACAAACAATATGTAGATACTACACCAGCAAACAGTACGTAGATGCTACATCAAACAATACGTGAATACTACACCAGCAAACAGTACGTAGATACTACAGCAAATAGTATAAGTTTATATTTCTACAGCTCACTTATGCTATCAAAACCATGAAAACTATATATACCTTATTTTTTCACATTTGTGGGAAGTAATTACTCCAAAAAACAGTGTCATCATGCCTGTTTTCTATTTTTGGAGAAAAAGATTTTTTCGCGAATTTTCGGTTGCTTGAAATCGCACCAGGGATTTTATACATATATTTAACTCTTCATTAACTCTCCCATAACTTGATAATGAAAAGTAGCTGACGTTTTGTTCCCTCGTAGAGGTCTAACAAGCAGGTCTGAGAGAAACATCTTTCAGTGTTGTGGCTTAGTTTTGAGTTGTTGCAGCCACGGTACTGTGGCTTATTCTAGCCTCCATTGTGTGATCGATTCATTTAGCATGCTGATAACCTTACATAATCTGACTGATCCATTTAGTGAAGGTCTGAAGCTTAGAATGGTCAACCTCCTCCAGCCCCTTCCCCAGTCTCTCCTCTAGCCCTTTGATGCCTTCTAGGGAGGGCACCTCTCCCCCAATCTTCCCTCCATTCCTTTCTTGGCAGACGAGGAAGGAGGGGAGGATGAGGGATGATCCCCCTTCCATGACGGATGGTCTCCCTATCATTAGGGTTGATATCCCTGCCATGAGGAATGTTGCTCTCCCTACCATAATAGACGATCTCCCCACCATGAGGGGTAATTTTTCTACCATGTGGATTGTGGTCTCCTATCAAGAGGGATGATCTCCTGATGCTGGATAATTTTCCTACAATAAAGGATGATTTCCCTACCATTAGGGATCTCTCTACCATGATGGATGTTCTCCAAGGCGTTAGGGATATCTCTACCATGATGGATGATCTCCCTGCCATTAGGGGGTGATCTCCCTACCATGATGGATAATCTCCCTACCATTAGGGATGATCACCCTCGTCTTATGGCTGAGGAGCTGATGGTTACAATATGAGGGAAGCGGCTGACTCACCCATCTTCTGTCTTAACACAGCAGCTGGGCACACACCAGAAAGTAACGTATCTTAACACAGCAACAAGACACACAAACACCAGGAAGTAATTGATGTGCGTTTTGAGAGGCATTGAAACTCAATCCAAGAAACCTAAGGATAAGTCAGGTTTCCTTGATCAGTAGTACCTCACAGGCATCAAGACACGTCCATAGAGGTGATAGTTTCTCTCGTGTGACAGAAAATAAGTCACTAAAGTAGAAAGTTGGTAAGGCTAGTAGCAAACTGTGAATTGTTTCATCAGACAGTAGCAAATGAATAACTAAACTCTTCTAATGCTTTGTAAGTTAGTCAAATCAGTAAACCCTATCTCTTTATCCTCTCTCTCTTTCTTACTACATTCTCCCAGAGGCCCCCTCAAGGGAGGCTCCTTGATGCTGGTGAGGGGCTCTCGATCTAGGGAATTGGATCTGTGCTCCAGTTCCTTGAATTGAGCCTGAATGCCTTCCATACCCTCCCCCACATGCGCTGTATAACCCTCTGGGTTTAGCGTTCCCCCCATGATTATAATAATAATAATCTCTCAGAGGCCAGTCTTACACTGCATCTCTTAAGTAGCTTCTACTGATGATTTATAATTAATTAACTGTCTTGCTTACTGAAAATCATTTAGATGAACGCTGTAAGCAGTATTCTCTGTCATCCTCTTGTTTAGTATTGCTGCTTTTATATATACGTAATATATTATAATATATATATATATATATATATATATATATATAATATATATAATATATAATATATATATATATATTATATATATATATATATATATATATATATATATATATTATATATATAATATAATATATATATATATATATATATATATATATATATATATATATATATATATATATATATATTACGAGGATAGGCTCAGGTTAGAGTATATAGGAGAGAGGGAGATTATTTTCCAGTAAAAGTAGGCTTTAGACAGGGATGCGTAATGTCATCATGGTTGGTCAATATATTTATAGATGGGGTTGTAAGAGAAGGGAATACTCGGATGTTGGCAAGAGATAATCTAACAAAGTGGGAATTGTCACAGTTGCTTTTTACTGACGACACTGCTTTTGGGAGATTCTGAAGAGAATTTGCAGAGGTTGGTGAACGAATTTGGAAGAGTATGTAAAATAAGGAAATTAAAAGTGAACATAGGAAAGGGCAAGGTCATGAGAAAAAAAATTAGGTAATGATAGATTGGAGGAAGTGAATGTATTCAGATATTTGGGAGTGGACTTGTCAGCAGATGGATCTATGAAAAATGAGGTGAATCATAGAATTGATGAGGGAGAAATAGGTGAGTGGAACAATGAAGAGTCTGTGGAGACAAAGAACGTTATGGAAGCAAAGAGGGGAATGTATGGGAGTATAGTGATATCTGCGCTCGTATATGGGTGTGAAGCATGGGTTGTGAATGTTGCAACAAGGAGAAGGCTGGTGGTAGTGGAGATGTCGTGTCTGAATATAATGAATATGATGCAGAGAATCCGTAGCTTGGAGATAGGAGGAGGTGCGGGGTTTCTAAATGTATTATCCAGAGGGAAGAGGAAGGGTCGAGATGGTTTGGACATTTAGGGAGATTGGAACAAAATATAATGACTTGGAGGGCATATAAATCTTTAGTGGAAAGAAGGTCGTCCTAGGACAGGTTGGAGGGAGGGGGTAAAGGAGGTTTTTTGTACGAGTGTCTTGGACTTCCAGCAAGTGAGCATGGGCATGTTAGATAGGTACGAGTGGAGACGAATGGTTTTTGACTTGATTTGCTGTTGGAGTGTGGGCAAAGTAACATCTTTGAAGGGATTTAGGGAAACCAGTTAGCTGGACTTGAGTCCTGGAGGTGGGAAGTACAGTGCCTGCACTTGGAAGGGGTGTTGATATGTTGCAGTTTTTTTTTTAACTGTAGTGTAGGTGCGCCTCTGGCAATACAGTGATGGAGTGAATGATGAAAGCATTTCTTCTTTTTTGGGTCACCCTGATTGGTGGTATAATAACCAAAGGCCTTTCGTGTTGCAATCAATACATCATCAGGAGCTTGCAGTGTTGCAGAAATGAATAGGAAATCCAAGCAGATTGGTTCAGGGGAACGTTTCTAGCTAGAAACGATGGTTAATAGTTCTATGATGAAACAAAATATTCCCAACTGCCCTCAAAGATTTTTTTTTAAGTCTTACGAATATCTTATTCATAATGAACATTTGCATATTACTAAAGTAGACAAAATAAATGCAGTAGTATTTTTGAAAGAAACTGATTACCAAGGTAAAATGAATAATCTCTTTGATGACTTAGATACAGATATATTCTTTCGTGGAAGGGGCGAATTCATAAAATTTCTCAGGTTGGTACTTCTGTATAAACTTAGCAGACAAGGATAAATAAAACCAGAAATATTCTGTATAAATACAGACAAATAGTTTTAATTTAGAAATCTCAAAAGGACATACAGACTGATATGAATATTTTATGTACAATAATATTAAACTTAATTTAAAATCTTACAATGCAAAATTTGTCTTGCAGGATGGGCTGTATACTAACAATGTATACGATAGTGTGTGCACTGTAACTATCATTCAGCGTACAGTGAATGAGGCTTACAGTGCACACACTACGGGTGGTGGGTTCTACCTATCTTGTGACTGTAAGTAGATATGGGCGTAAAATGATCAATAGATAAATGCCATACTGACCCTTATTGATGACACAGAAGAAGAAACTTGGCAATTGGCACAACATACCGTCCCTAGCACACCGCGGTTGGTCACCATCGCTGGCGCACTACACTAGGCCTATCCCTCTCTTGCACAGAAATTCACTTAAGCGTCTTGCAATACGCCTCAACGCATCGCTAATTATAGGCCTCTATTTTTTGGTATAGTCACAATTGTGGCTTAAAATTATCTCCCCATTATTTTGCCTCTCCTTTTTTTTCTAGCTTATATAAACCTTTTTATAGTCACATTTTTTGTTTATATAATCGATTTTTCGATAGGGGGGATTAAAAAATCTCACTATTATGCAAGCAGGGATTAATAAGAAGTCATGTTTGCTCTCTAGTGAATAAGATAACAGATGAACATCACATTTGGGAGGAGAATGCGTCCACGGTCACTGCACACTGTCACTGCGCATATCAGAGATCGGTCACAATTGCGCCGCAACATTTCACCGGCACCTCCCACGCGTCAATAACGAACACCTTTTCAAATATTGTTTTGGAGGAAGAAAAAAGCGATTTTTATTTGTTGACAACCCCATCGACGGCTTGTCAAACACACCCACAACATTTTCAATCACTATTCAACAGACGGGGCTTTGGAATATTATTGGAATGAAATATTGTCTAAGAGGACACTATACAGGTTTTCCAAAAAAAAAAAAAAATTTAATATGCTAATTAGGATAAAATTCAAAAATTCCTTTCACGGACATTAAAACGTATATATCAGAATTTCTGTGTGAGACAGGAACACTGCGTGGCTATCGGGAGAACAAACAAATCAACGAACAAAGAAACAAGGAAGGCACGAAAACCACACAATTAATTACAAACAATATGATGATAATCTTGGTAATAGGATCTTAGAGAGGTGCACCAAGCTTTCCTGGCTGGCCTCCTCACCTTATCAACACCTCGTAATACTTAACACGATAACAACAGACACTGGAATTCTAATTCAGATATATATATATATATATATATATATATATATATATATATATATATATATATATATATATATATATATGTATATAATATATATATATATAATATATATATATATATATTCTTGCGATCAGTGCGTCAGCTACAGGTCTGGAGATCTGTAAAGGTTTGTTAAAGAGGAAAATGATTTTGAAATTTGATTACTTGGATCTCGAAGTTCGTGTTCTCTTTAGTGGAAATTAGTGAACTCGAGTCATCATTGACCAAATATCAAATCACATGCCTCTTCAGATAACACTACCTCTCAACTATTATTTTTTTATATAATTATAGCCATGAGGGCAGATGGTGTGAAAACGGGATTGGAAATAATTGATTGTCTCTGTTAAAAATGTTTTCCATTCTGTTATTGTTGAAAAGTTGCAAACTGCGCGTTTGTTCCTTCAACTTGCCGTCTGGCTGGGAGTGGATCGTAAGGTACTCTGTAGCAGCCGAGCATTTCTAAAGAGTACACACAGACTCACACATCTCTGAAAAGGCAGGTGGCTGCAGTCCTTTTTACCTGACAGATGGCCACCGGAAATCGCGAACACCTGCTTCTTACCTGGCATCTGGTCACCGGACTTCATGTATCATTCACCAACTTGAATAAGATACAACCTGGTCGACTGCTTGAGGCCCACAACGATGCAGTGAGACACTCGTGCATTGTACCTTACAGGTGTCTTTGGTTACACCTGTCACACAACGTACCTTAAATATTATTGGCTGCTTTGTAATCCTGACCTATTTATAAAGATATAGTACACCCGAAAAGTAAAATAACATGGGTATAGTCAGCAAGATCACCAGATCAATCCTCAATGCTCCAATATATATATATATATATATATATATATATATACACACACATTTCATGTCAACACAACCAAGTTGGGATCATGGAGAAATAATTATCTTAGGCAAAATTACGTACACAGAAGCTAAGTCTCAAAGATACGCTGCCATTTTTTCTCTCCCTATTACTTATTCTTTACATTGAAGTCACCGAAATGGAAGGTTAAGTATGCTTGAGTCTGTTAGCGCACACGGGAGACACTGGTCGTACTCTCATGCCAGGGCTTCTCCAGGTGCACATAAATCTGCTTATTCAGAGTCACGAAAGGCGTTAATTACTCATTTTTTAAATTAATTACTGTAGCTTCTCCCAAATAATCCACAAACCAGAAATGTAAACCGGTTCACGTTACGGACCGAAACGTCGTCCACTTCTCATTTTCAATTTGTGGCTTAGTTGTGCATTGTTCCAGCCATGGTACTGTGATTTGTATTTCTTTATGAATGCATTAATGGAGTCGAAATGCGTCCATGAGCTCGGAACTGTTTTCATCAGTGACAAAACATTTAATGAAACCAGGATTATCGGTAAGAGAATTAATGAATAAGGTTTTTAATTGGATTAATTGTCAGTGACTTACTAAGCATACTGCACACCAATCAGAAGATGTGTGTGTGTGTGTGTGTGAGAGAGAGAGAGAGAGAGAGAGAGAGAGAGAGAGAAAAGGAACATGGCTTCTGCCCTGGCTCGCCCGACTTCCGATTTGTGACTCTTAGAGCTCTAAAACGAGGGAAGAGTTTATTGTTCGCCACTCATCCTGTGAGTGAACACTGAACATATCACCATGTATATAGTTCTGGGCATCGTCACTCATCCCGTGAGTGAACATATCACCATGTAGATAGTTCTGGGCATCGTCACTCATCCCGTGAGTGAACATGCTACTACATAAATATATATCGGAGCCCAAATGGTTGGCGTGATGCTACTGGTGATATCGTTTCCATCCCTGGTTGGTTTAACATCCACGCAACACGCCAGAACATGAGGTCAAGAGTGTGTTCTTTTGTAATGGGATCAGCGGCTCCACAGATGATATCCGCTCTCTCTTCCAACAACAGGCAGTATACCTCAAATGTGACAAAAAAACAGTGAAAACCTGCTACGTAATTTATATCATCTGTTTCGACGAAAGATTGATTTTTTGCACACTTCTGCAGGTGCGGTGATAGGGGTAAGGTGGGGGGGGAAGCTAAATAGTTTAGGCAGTCTGGAGGCCTATATCACTACTCCATCACTACCTTGGACATCTTACACTCTATAACGAGTTACATTTATAAATGGAAAGCCCTGATGATTTGTCTCTCCTCCCGTCCCGAGGTTGTTCTCAGGACGTTCATTTTGTCTCTTGTCCTTCACAGGTAATCTATTTACAGGTTAACAGTTTACACGAGAGAGAGAGAGAAAGAAAGTGAGAGAGAGTCACCTATAAAGGTAATATTATATATAAATAATCAACGGATAAGAATAATTAAAATGACTGAGAATATGTTATTCATACATATCATGCAACAGCAGTAAATTATTAATAGTTTTACGAGCACTGACCGTAATAACCTTGTGACCATTGTGACGTCACCGTGACGTCGCCACAACGTAACCTGTAAATACCGTGACGTCCCATATACGTCACCACACTGAGACCGTAACTTGTGACCATAACCTACTCCTGTCACTCATGACCCAGCTGTTTCTCATGACTCAGCTGTCACTCACCGCTAAACGTTCAAGCAAAGACAACTTAACGAATATAAATATAAAATATATTTTTTACCTCGAACATCATCCACCTGGAACATTGTACTTGATTTGTCTTTAGACAATTTCAGAGACAAATATAATTCACCATTGCCGGAAATAACTCGAATTTATAGGCCAAACAATCAAAGGTAATTCCTATATACACACACACGTAAAGGGAACTCGCCATCTTGTCTGCTAACAGACCATACGATATCACTTCGATAACGAGAGACGTAGAGCGGCAAAAGCCGTTATTATAGCGTTTTGCTTGGGCGAAACGTAGTTATAATAAAAGCTTAGGATATCTTATGTCTCTCCATCAACTTGTCAGTTGGCAACCTCTTCCACCTGTGATATCACTTGCACGATATTACGAAAAGAAACATATGCAAAACAGAGCAAATTGCAAATCAAAATCTGAATCAGCTCATTATTCCGGTCAGGGGTCCATCACTCAGCATTTCCCTTATTTCCACCGACTAATGGAAAGCGGAAATGACTTGCACAGGCTTGTTGCCGCATCCATAAATATAGAATGGAGGTGGCACAGCAAATTAGATTAGTGTCTCTTGATCACCACCAGCAGCGGGCCTCCTACTCTATCTATCATGTACCTGTCTGTCTACCTTCTACCATCACTCCTGTCTCTATCATTGCCTCCACCACTGCTTCCTCATACACTTTCACCATTATCACCACTTTTCTTCCTCTATCAACATTTGTTCTTTCACCACCACTCTCCCCCCTACATTACCACCACCTCTCCCAGATGCACCACCACTTCATCCCTCATTCCACTCTTATACAACAGATAAATTCACAATCATACACACTTCCACAAATGTAAAAAAAAAAAATGCATTTTCCCTCCGTAGTGCAGTAAATCTGGTCCCTTTTTTTTACGTGGGATTTACATCAGCTTCAGAAAATATGGAGTGTGGATCAAGGGGCGGATGCTCATCTTTCGTTAATGAAGGTCCTATTGAGTCGCTCATGTAATTCCTGTCTTCCTGCAAGGGGAGGACGAACACAGGTATTGCAAACACCGCAACAGAAACCCTTCATTGTTCACAGGGAAAAAATCAGATCTCGTAATAAAAATAATGATAATTGTTCTCTTCCTTTTGGATTCACGTTTTATTTTTGAGATACTGGTGAGTATCAGATGCACGCAAGCACGTGCGCGCGCACACACACACACACACACACACATACACACATTCCGTGAAACATTCTCCGGAACATTCACCATTACCATTATCGGTCACATGGAAAATTTGAACAAATCGTTTGGCGAGAAAGAGCAACTCAAATGTCACTCTTGGACCACTACAATAGTCTGTGTTCCGTCACCCAGAGCCATGTAGGGCGGAAAGTCAGGTCCTAGTCTGCTCTGGGGGGTTTTTTAATCAAGCCTTTGTTGGTACATGGCTGGTTTTAGGGTGTGGGGATAAAGGTAAGAGCGGTGGGAAAAGTCACGAACGTTGTTTTGATAAGTGTTGGAGAAAATCAGGTGTTCTTTTGGGTAATTATTTTTTTGAAAAAAAAAAAAAAAAAAAAAAAAAAGTTAAGTCTCTTCCTGGGTAAGAATTCTAGGACAACTCAAGGCCACTAGAAGGTGAAAATAAATGGTATAAGGTTCAAATGGTATTGAGATAAACTAAGTTTACTGTTAGGAAATGTTTAGGATAAGTCAGGTCTAATGGTGATGTTATGGTAGGAGGGTATTAGAAAGGAGTTTGATCTTCCTCGCTGGAGAAAAGGTGTTGACATTAGCGTGGGGATTTCCATAAACTGAGGCGAACACATTACCCCTGCACGACGGATATTAGATTTCAAACCCAGAAATCGTACCGAGTCCACAGGTGCAAACTCTCGCTCTGATTCAGTCTTATATGCTTTGTGTATTACTGGTTTTTTAAGGATCCTCGTACGGTCGATAGGCTTTAAGTCTAGCAAACTGAACATTTCATGTAACACTTTTTAAAGTTGAAAAATTTCAACTGGGAACTACAAGAGTAATAATTCTTTTGCTTATTTTGTATTTCTCTTTCTGTAGTTAAGAAATACTAATTTTTCTTAGAAAAACGCCTATATTATATTACCAATTAAAAATGGAGATACTGTATAACTTAATTTGATAAAAAATAATCTACGTTTGGTGGTATTTAAAGTTCCGGTTCCGGTTTAACATACGACGCGCGATAATCGAGATATCGTTAGTGTAATGGTCAAATTGATGACATGTTGAATATTTTATGGTGCATTAGTAAGACTAACGAGTTCCTTTTCATTGTGTGTATAAGTTACTGTGACAACTTGAACCCTCTTTGTGCTGGCGACACTGATGATTTCCGCTGAAAAAAATCAAACATTTAAAATAATCTTAATGTAATGCATGTTAAAAAGTCATTGTCAGTGTTGTACAAGTTTCCACTACCACTCATTCTTAAATCCTATAACCAATAACAAGAGTAGCGGTGCAGCCTCTGTCCCTCACTCCACTCATGGACACGCGGGTGATGTGGGATCAATAATGCCCATAATTTTCCTCTTTCCTGGCCCCAAGAACCTCCACGGGCGCAAGATAGTGTCATGCCCATCATCATTCAGTGCTCTTCATAACTAACGCACACACTAGAAATGGTAACTAGCCTTCTTAATGACCCAGGACGGACCCGAAACATCGTCTAGCTTCTGTTTGCACTGTGTGGGTTGGTAATGAATTGTTCCAGCCATGCTTTTGTCATTTGTTCTTCACTGAGAGTGTCCTTTAAACCTTTTGTTTGTTTCACCGTTCGCACGCTCTTGTGTGATTTTTTTGTTAGGTGAACACTCGAAGTATTATAATTCTTCCCATCTTTTATTTTCTTCGTTGCTTTTTAATTCACTTGGTAGATGATCGGCTGTGTAGTCCCAGAATCGGTTTCTATTAGTATAGTTTCTTGTTTCTTAGACATTTACAATGGTCTCTTTGCACTCTGGAAGCTAGCATAGAAGAGTTCTCCTCTTTGAACACACTGTGAAGGGCTACGAGAGATCATGAAATCTTGAATAACCAATGCTGAATCCATGGACTAGATGGATATTTCATATACGCATTGTTCACTGAACGATGAAAATGTGAAATTAGTTGAGAAATAATAAGACTAGAACTAAGAGTCTCGAGCGTCTGGTTTCTGGGACACAGAGAGAGGTTAACCTGTACCCAGGTCATAGTTTGAATTTGTTTACATTATGTTTCACTGTAACTTGGTAGTCTCACTCGGGGGGAGGGGGAACAGGGTTACTATTTGGTTCTACTCTGTACTATTTGTTCAATGAAGGGATCACCGGAATATATCATTATCTCACAGGGGGCATACACTTTTTTTAATAAACAGGATTCGACCATTTCACTGGTACGAAACACTCGTCTTGTAAGACGCCCTTTGACAAGGGGTCGTGGTAAGTTCCGTGCACACTAAACACTGTACAGAGGTCGGAGTTACCACCACTGTCACGTTGGCAACAAGCATAGAACAGTTCAGCATTATGGCATTCTAAACACCTGAAGTCACCTAACCTAAGGGGAGCTTGATCAAAAACTTGGGAAATATATATACAAATCTTTAGACAAGTTAACAAGTAAAACACACGAACATTTTATAATAAAATAACAGAGGTTGACATTTTGTAGGACTTATGACTTGAGAGTCTAAATTGTGATTTTAAAGGCCCACAATGTGCCTAAGAGATTCCTCAAGGCTCTCCGGCGATACAACACCTTGGCATCATCGTCCGACTTTGCGAAGCTCATCACTTGCCGACGGGACGAAACATTTGGTATAATGCACGAACAACAACACGCTAAGAACAACGGGATAAACTCTGGAATCCAAAAGCGTCGCTTTAGGCCGATGCTAGCATCACGCCTCTTCTTCCTCTTCTACTTCAGCCTCTTGCTTGATGGTCTCCTGACTTGGCGTGGGATCTTCTTGCACCGTGGAGGTTTCTTCTTGCAACGTTTCCTGCTCTGTCTCCATGGTCGTTGGCAGCGGGGAAGAGGAGACGGTGGAGGCTGGTTGCTGCTGTTGTTGCTGTTCTTCCTCTGTTTCCTCCTCCCCTTCTTCCTTCAGTGACCGGGCCCGAGCCTCATCCACTGGGGTTGGTTCAATACGCACTGTCTCCTGTTCTCGCAAACGGTAGTCATCTGTTTGCATGACACACACTCCGTTAATAATCACTTCTCGTTCCTTACCTCCCTCACCAGACGCCCACGAAGGATTGACCCACTGAGGTGCAGCGGGCTTCCTACGGGAGGACCGAGAGACTGGTGAAGGGGCTCCACGCCCATCACGGTCCTCTCCCTCTCCCTCAGATCGTCCGCCGCCGCTTGGACTCATGCCACCGGACATATTGGAGTCTTCATCTACCAGCGATGAATCATCATAGTCAGTCTCTGTTTTCATGGATAGATCAAGACCACCGCTGATATCTCGGTCAAGTGGTTGGCTGCCTAGACCGTGTGGACCCAGATGTGGGAAGTGTGGAAAAAGACCCGGATGCAGACCAGGTCCCAGACCTGGCATGGTAGGTGGCAGACCTTTCTCCCTCCTCAGTTCCATCAATCGCTGAGAGAGAAGAAGACGGAAGTGAAGTGGATCAAAGGACTGCCCTTGAGGCTGGCCTGGAGGAGGCTGTTGAGATTCACGTGAAGGTGAGCTGTCTCCGGGACTACCCGGATGCTGTTTGAGCCGCATACGGTGGTTGTGGAACCAGTTAGTGATAGTACGGGTCGACAGTTGAAGCTCCTGGGCCAAAAATTCTATGGTGGCTAAGTTTGGGTATGGATCAAGCGCAAAGGCCAGTCGGAGAGCCTCCTTCTGTTCTTCTGAGAATAGCACGCGCTGTTTCTTTGACGAACCTCCGGGAGAAGGAGCCTGGAACACATCCTGCGAGTCCTGAGATACTTCAACAGTAGGATCGAGGGCACGCCGTCGCTTGTTGGCCTCTCGTCGCTCGTTCTTGAGTTGCTGAAGTTTCTCTAAGTTGCGGGAGTCGTTGAGCCAGAGCTGCATGCGGATGAATGGTTCTCGGCCCTTGATGCTGAGCATGTGCCACGGCTTGGGCTTACTTAGTAACTCAGAGACGGAGCCCTGAGACAGCCCTAACACTGCCTCGCCAAACAGCTATAAAGTAGAAACAAAAATGCGTTCATTAATTTAAGATAAATAAGCGACTATTTTATATAATATATATATATATATATATATATATATATATATATATATATATATATATATATAATAATATATGCAAAACAACCACTCTGAAAGAATAGAGAAATTCCAAGCGCTTTCGTGACTACTCACATTATCAAGGAACTTGATAATGTGAGTAGTCACGAAAGCGCTTGGAATTTCTCTATTCTTTCAGAGTGGTTGTTTTGCATATTCTGAAATCACCTGTTTACTGTGATCTTATTGCATATATATATATATATATATATATATATATATATATATATATATAATATATATATATATATATATATATATATATAATCATATCATATACAGCAAAGGAATCTTTGAGCTTTGTTTTCGTATGGTTTTCCTATGAACATATTGTGTATGAATTTAAACTTAAAACCGATTACTTCATGAAATTAAGGTGATCACTTATCAATTTAGTGAGTTTCAGATTGACTACGTACTTTCTGGCCAATATTGTTGGCTAGTAGAGCTTCCTTTATTTTTGTTGTGATGACTTGGGTGTCGAGGTCTTGCGTCAGAGCAGCCATTTCATAGACTGAGGGAGCCACTGGTCCTGGGGCTCGAACGCCGCCCATTCCAGCCTGCATCAGAACACAAGCAAATTATTACCATTACCATTACACCACAGCATTTCTTTTAGTATACACAACGAGAGGTGTAAATATTTGTATTTATACGCTGATTCTGCCAATTCTTATTTTAAGGATTACAGTATTCTTGATAACGTTTGTACAATAAATGTGCAAACTAAATTAATTTTATATTTTTAGCCATGAAGATAATATCTTGTTCATTAAGAGAATTATCTGTGTAAAGTACGGAGTGTAAATTCTAGATACACCTTTCGATGCTGAATATATTTCATATGGTTCACGAAATTAATAAAATGTGCCAATTTCTATTGTCTATGCTTAAAATTCCCTTTTCATGATTGACAGACACTTAACTTCATTCAGAAGAATAATAAGAAGAGGGTATCCTTTGGCCCTATCGTAGGATACGAGTCTATTAATATCTAATTAACCATTGACTGCCAGGCCAATGTGTCAGTGGCACAGTACTTGTGTAGTATATATGTGCCAACCCCTGTTGCATCACCCCTATGTGGGCCTCTGTTACCCTGGTGACACTTGCAGGTGTTAAGAAACTTTCCCAAAGGTTCCACTGTGCCTGGGACGAAAGCACTACCAGTGACTTACTCTCAAATCCCATACCCCCAGACGAGTATGATTATAAAAAATCATAGGGAAGCGATAAACCCGCAGGGAGTCACAGCAACAGGGAAATTGGAGGAAAATCAGATTCGAGCTTAGAAAGGAGAGGGTAGCTCTTCCCTAACATTAAAGAATTGACTAAGTAATCTTACCTTCCTGAGTGGGTCAAGGAGCGGCATCCTGGCGTCGAAGGACATGTGATGGGAGGGTAGGGGAAGGCCGCCGAGAGACGGGGGTATTCCCACGGGCGGAAGAGGTGACTCCATGCTCTTGGGAAGGTCCGGCGGAAGTTTGAGGTGATGCTGCGGCTTGCTGCTGCCTGCCGGAAGAAGTGGGCAGGATGTTGCTCAAGTGATCCACTCAGCCACGCTTAAACATCTTATTTACAAATATTAAGGTCTCTGATTTATATATTATATAAATATATAAATATATATATATATATATTATATATATATATTATATATATATATATATATATATATATATATATATATATATATATATATATATATATATATATATATATTCTTTCAACACACCGGCCGTATCCCACCGAGGCAGGGTGGCCCAAAAGGAAAAACGAAAGTTTCTCCTTTTACATTTAGTAATATATACAGGAGAAGAGGTTACTAGCCCCTTGCTCCCGGCATTTTAGTCGCCTCTTACAACACGCATGGCTTATTTATTTATTTATTTATTATGCAAGACAGGCCAGAGGGGATGGAGACCTTCAGCTCAAGCACTTTCACACGTCTCCGTGCTTTATCAGGAGTTATACAATTCTGCAAGAGTAGCAACGTTGCTACTCTTACAGCATTACATAGCTCCTGATGACTCATGGAGACCTGTGGGGAAGTACTTGAGCTGAATGTTTCGGTTCACTGTGCCCTGTCTTGCATTAAGATCCCCTGTCTGTGACTGTACATATATATATATATATATATATATATATATATATATATATATATATATATATATATATATATATATATATAATAAGGGTGAAGGAAACACGGCAGAATGGGCTTTGGCATGAAATATGAGAAAAGTGATAGGAGTTTTTGAGAACATATGCTGAAGGCAACACAGGTAAGAGTGGGGGGGCTTACTTGTGTATGGCGGAAGGGTAGGTGAGCCAGTAGTGGACAAACCCCCAGGAAGTCTCGACCCAGGGGCTCCTAGCCCCCCAGGAAGTGGACATCCACCGACTAAATACACTAAAAAACGAAAAGCACATGGAACTGGATTAACATTTCATCCAAAGTTGGGGACAAGGCAGATTATAAATAGAAATTAGCAATAGTCACTCAATCCTCTCCTTAATACAGTGTTAGTAAGATACTTTCTATTAAGCGTGGAAAATGGGAAGATTTTTTTTTAAAATGTTAGGGACTTTACATTTATAATGAATTTTACTGATACGTATTTTTGTTTTACAAGAAAAGGATGTCCACTGCTGGCCCATTAACTTTTGATAAGAAAACAGCATCTTAGTAATCCCAATGTAAACAGAGTATACAAGACTGGCAGAAAAAATCAATAAACAAGCATGGAAAGTTAAATTGTTTTATCACAACAAACACAAAACTGAAAATTATCAATGAGTTTGTTGTGATTTGTTCCAGCCACGGTATTGTGATTTTTTTGCATGTCTTTAAATAATTTATTATAAAGCAAAAAAGATAAACAGCAGCTCTCTCTCTCACTCACTGACACACACACACACACACACACACACACACACACACACACACACACACACACACACACACACATACACAGCTGCAAGAAAAGTCAGTGACTTACGGGGTGGGGCGGTGTATCCTCCAGTACGCATCAGCTTCTCCGGGGCAATCTTGTACTGGGAGGCGACCAACTTATGAACGGCATTGTCGTCTTCCAAGAAGATCTTCATTCTGATGAACGGCTCACGACCCTGCCGAGGATACAACCAGAAACGTTTACAAACGCGCGCACACGCTTGAAACGTTGACACGTTTGAAATGTTTACACGCGCTTCAAACGTTAACATAAACGAATGTTTCAGTTTTCTGCAATATTTTGATGTCATTGCTGTATGGATATCAATTTGCCTGTCTGTATGCTTTGTCCAAGAAAATTTCACAAATGATTGATCCAGTCGTAGGCATGGTGGTATAATAACTATAATCATGGGCACCCTATAAACCCATAGGTGTCAAACAGTGTCTAGTGGAAATGGTTGGCACTCTAAGTTTAATCTGAGAACGGAAAGAATGCCAGTATTTTATTATTATTATATAATTATTCTTTGTTTTCATGTTATTAAAATTTTAATTTCCATGTAGAAATTATATTGTAAGTTTCCGAGTATTATGTTTTTTGTTCTTTATATCACTTGATTTTTTTTTTTCAATGATGTGTACATATTCATGTAAGAAAGTGAATTATTACCCCTCTATAATTTATTTTTTTGTGAAGACATTTTGAGAAACTTATTATTTATTCTTTTCATTTATAAATAATAAACGCTATGTAAACATAAAACAAATATTAAAGAAAATTATTCACAGCAGAAAATGGAGAGAGAACGAAATGTGTAGAAGCCTAAGTGTGAGTTGTCTAGAACCAGTGCTGGGGGATGTAAGTTATCTTCTATACTACTGTTGGATAGTTGTTTCTTCAGAACAACTGGTGGGGAGTGTGTTAACTGTCTTCCAGAACTAGGACTGGGAAAAGTGAGTCTTGTCTTCAAGAAGTAGATCTAAACCAGCATGTTAACCGTTTGAGCCCTACCAGTAAGACAGAATTTTAGGGTCGTTCCAGACCCAGCCTAAACCTCTGTGTCAGGAAGGTTTTTCAAGAACTATGTGTTTGTGTGTGTGTGACAGGGTCGTTTCAGAATAAACTTGTGTTGGTGTTTTATTCCAGACTTAAGGCGGAAGTGTGGTAGGGAAGTTTCAGCCTTTAACCTGTGTGGTAGTTAATTCCAGAATGAACTGAAAGACATTATGGCAGTCCTAAAGAAGTGTGATGGCTCTTCCAGCAGTGTTCCTAACTCAGTGAGGTAAAGTATTTATACCTGTAAACCGATGTGATAGGAGATATCTTAAGATGAGCGAGAGAGACTGGATCCAAATGACATACTGCCGACTGTGTTAAAGAAAACACACGTTGCAAAATAGGTTTTTATTGCGACAACGTTTCGCTCTCAGACCTTCAAGTCAAACCGCCAATGAGCTGATAAAAGCTCTAGCAGTGCAAAACATTGTCTCATTAAAAACTTGGTGTTCAGCGTGTGTTGACTGTAGTGAGAGAGGCGGTTGTGTTTACCTTTTGCGTGAGCATGTGCCAGGGTTTAGGCCTGGCTAGCAGGTCGGACACGGAGCCTTGCGACAGCCCCAGCACCGACTCCCCGAACAGCCGCTGTGAGATGCTGTACTGACTCAGCTGTTCCTTCACCTGCCAAGGACACAATATCTGTCTTGAAATGACAACACCACAAGCAAGGGGTAAGAGGGGAAAAAATCCTTCAGCTAAAAACACAATATCTTGAAATGAAAAAAAATCACCTTAAGCAAAGGGAATACAAGTGAAAAAATCTAATTAGCAGACCAAAAGAGGGCAGTGAAATTTAGCTATAGGGTAATATAATTCTTTTTTTATAATTTTGCTGACGTTTTGTCAGGAGTAAATGATGGGGGCATCAAGCTCAAAGTAACCTGGAAAATATCTGCCTCGTTTTTCATCCCGTCTTCCAACTCCACCATTCGTTTTGTAACGCGTCTACCTACGTCGATTTCCGAACGATACAAGCCTAGAACGATCCACTAAGTTGCATAGAGGCAAAAAGGTAACAGTGGCGGATACGTTGTCATCCTTTATATTGCTGAGGACAGGCTGCATGGGTTACATGTATCTAGGAGTGTGGACTGCGCCAAGACCGTCCGATCCCGCACAGATATATATATATATATATATATATATATATATATATATATATATATATATATATATATATATATATATATATATATATAAAAATATATATATATATAAAATATATATTATATATATAAAAATATATATATATATATGTATAAAATATATATATATATATATATATATATATATATATATAATAAAATATATATATATATAAAATATATATATATATATAATATATATATATATAAAAATATATATATATATATATATAAAAATATATATAATATATAATATATATATATATATAATATATATATATAAAATATATATAATATATATATATATATATATATATATATATATATATATATATATATATATATATATACACACACACACACACACACACAATACTCGCGAACAAGCAATAACAAATGCAACTTCCACCAGGCCACGGTGGCCCGTGGCCTGGTAGCCAAAGTTCTCGCTTCACACGGTGAGGATTGAAACATTGGGCGTGTTTCCTTACACCGGTTGTCTGTGTTCACTCAGCTCTCTCCAGGTATACTCTAGTTATCAGTAATATGTTTATGTGGGTGTTAGTCGACTGGTGTGGGTCACACCCTGGGACAGAACTGACCTAATTTGCCCGAAATGCTCTGCATAACAAGGGGCTTTCTGTATTGTATGTCAGCTAGGACTGTATACCTTGTACATGTACTTGTAGAAATAGATTTATTCTTATATATATCTTGCGTCAGTCACATACATGAATAACATATAACATAAATGTACCCTTATATAGGAGTCCCACATATGGCTTTTAATATGTAATCTACTGTTACCTTGATATTGTATGAATCCCATATATAACTTCCGCATAACTCGATCCTTAATAGGAGTCACATATAAGAATTACATATAATCTCTATATTACTCAGTGTTCAAGCCTGATTGATTATACCTAGCTCAGAGCTTAGTCTCCTACGGTTTTGTTAGGCTCACTGCTCTGAGAGGTGTGGACGGAAACACAAGTATGCGGAAAAAATCTTTTGTTTGGACGCCGTTTCGCTGTTAGAGCGAAATGTTGTCTAGAATATAACTGCCCGAATAGTTTTAATTTTTATTGCGTCTGTTTTACATGGTGCGGTGGTAGATCACGAGGAATGGATGCGGCCACTGTATTGGCTGATCGACTGTACAACCATGGTCTTCCTGCGTATCTATGGTACGCATGTTGTAGCTGCGTATTCATGGTACGCATGTTGTAGCTGCGTATTCATGGTACGCTTGTTGTAGCTGCGTATTCATGGTACGCATGCTGTAGCTGCGTATTCATGGTACGCTTGTTGTAGCTGCGCATTCATGGTACGCATGTTGTAGATACGTATCCACGGTACGCATATTGTAGTTGTGTATTCATGGTATGCATATGGTAGCTACATATCCATGGTATGCGTGTTGTAGCTGCTTATTCCTGATGCGCCTGTATCTACGTACATAAGGTACGCATAAGTTATGAAGTAGTGCCTCTCAGTGGGACTGGGAGAGGCAGAGGTGGACACAACGTGTTGTGGAAAGTGGCCAAGAAAGCTGTAAAATTATGTTAAGAAATAACGAACAGTGCAAAGCAAAACTTAAAATGATTAAAGAGAGACTGAGGGGGAAAGGTTGAGAGGGGGGGAAAGGGAGGGAGAGAGAGGGGAAAGGGAGGAGAGAGGGGGGGGCAGGCTTGAGACAGAAAACAAAGAGATGTGAAGATGCAGAAAAAACAAAGATGGAGACACAGGAAAAGGGGAGGTGGAGAAGATTGGAAAGAAAAAAAAAAGTTCAGTTGAGAGAGAGGAATGTAGACGGAAGTGAGATATGGAGAGAAGTGAGAGATGAGGGGTAACGGGGAGGAGGGGAGTAAGAGGGAGGGAGAGAGCAGTATTTTGAATGAAACAAGTGTGTGAGAGAGACGCTAGATGAGGTAATGACTAAGGCAATTTACGCCATAAGTTGACAGAACCAGCAAGGTCACTTACGCAGCTGCACTCTGCATTATGTTCATTGGGAAGCGCTAAAGCTGTAGGGGTCATATAGCGCCTGGAGGATGGAAGGTAATCAGGTTCCATCCGAGAATGGGGGGTTTGAAGTCGTTAGCATGCAGGGATAATTGCAAGAGTAATTTCCCAATTGTTGAAAGGAATATCACTCGAAGAGCCAAGGATACGACCCGGTGCACTCATTGAACTACAGACATCAGCCTACACACTGAGCCACAGACACGACCCTACACACTGAACCACAGACACGACCCTACACACAACCACAGACACGACACTGCACACTGAACCACCGACACAACCATACACACTGAACCAGACACGACCCTACACACAACCACAGACACGACCCTACACTGAACGCTCCAGTATGACAAAAGCTTCAAGTCATAATTTGGTCAAACTCTACACAGAATCGTTGAGAGAAGGCAGCTGTCTCTGGAGTTTATCAAAGTACAAAAACTTACCCAAGAATGCCACATTTAGATTTAGAATTTTGCCTCCGTAGCTTATTGTGCACCCCATATCCATCCTGTGGATGATAGTGGCTAGTTTAGTGTACACTCCATATATATCCTATGGACTGTAGCGCAGGAAGTATAGATATTAGATACTCAAAATGCCTAGGAGCTAGGCCCCAAAAAAGAGGTTAACAGTACATCCAGATATATATTTTCATCTGTTACCGGCAAATTTGGGATATTTGCTTTCAGTAATAAGTAATTTGCTGACACCATGCCGTAAAGCAGGCATCACCATCGTGTATCCCTGAGATTAAGTAAACTACCTATCAAGAGGTGCCCTGATGTTGGTGAAGGGCTCTTGATGTACGGTACTGAAGCTAACTTCTCCTTCCGTGGATCAAACCTGATTACTGCCTATTTCAAGGTACTGTATGACCCTATTACTACTACTGCTAATAATAATAATAAATATAATATTAATCTAAGTAAACTTGGCGGCGTAAGAATGTAATATAATGGGGAGAAATAAGTAGTCTCGGTGACATCAAAGGAGGTGTATGCTAATAGCAGCCTCACTTGACAGATGTTGAGCTCTGGAACAGACAACAAATGAGTCAGTTTCACACCATCACCATCACCACCACCACCACGACGTGTTTCTCAAACAAATTTTTGTATTACCCTCTGTGTGTAAACTCTGCATAGCTCTCAGTTTGATAGTCTCTCTCTCTTAATTTAAAATCATGTAAATTCGAATTTCGCCACCACAAATATTGCTACAGGGTAAAATGGGCTACACGTTGTGCGCGCAAAACACATGGGTGTAAATATACACACCCCGTTTTCTATATGTTAGCGTCAGGAACTAGGGTTACGAAGCTTATGCCACGTCTCACCTCGACCAATCTGCGGTTTTCCTTGAAGTTTCTTTGTGTACATATGTACTCACCTAATTGTGTGTGCCTGTACCAATCTGTGTATGTTTTGAGATGTATTTTATGTCTGCGCGCGCGCGCACACACACACACACACTCGGGGCCAGGAGCTAAGACTCGACCCCTGCAACCACAAATAGGTGAGTACACACACACACACTTACAAAGGGATCTGGACAGGCTGCAGACCTGGTCCAGCGATTGGTTCCTGGAGTTCAACCCCACCAAGTGCAAAGTCATGAAGATTGGAGAAGGGCAAAGACCACAAACGCAGTACAGTCTAGGGGGCCAGGGACTACAAACCTCGCTCAAGGAGAAAGATCTTGGGGTGAGTATAACACCAGGCACATCTCCTGAGGTGCACATCAACCAAATAACTGCTGCAGCATATGGGCGCCTAGCAAACCTAAGAACAGCATTCCGACATCTTAATAAGGAATCGTTCAGGACCCTGTACACTGTGTACGTTAGGCCCATATTGGAGTATGCGGCACTCGTCTGGAACCCACTCCTAGCCAAGCACGTAAAGAAATTGCAAAGGTTTGCAACAAGACTAGTCCCAGAGCTAAGGGGTATGTCCTACGAGGAGAGGTTAACGGAAATCAACCTGACGACACTGGAGGACAGGGGAGATAGAGGGGGGACATGATAACGACATTTAAAATACTGAGAGGAATTGACAAGGTGGACAGAGACAGAATGTTCAAGAGATGGGGCACAACAACAAGGGGACACAGTTGGAAGTTGAAGACACAGATGAATCACAGGAATGTTAGGAAGTATTTCTTCAGTCACAGAGTAGTCTGGAAGTGGAATAGTTTGGGAAGCGATGTAGTGGAGGCAGGATCCATACATAGCTTTAAGCAGAGGCATGATAAAGCTCATGGTTCAGGGAGAGTGAATCAGTAGCGACCAGTGAAGAGGCGGGACCATGAGCTATGACTCGACCCCTGCAACCACCACTAGGTGAGTACAGAAACACACACCCCGTATCGTCCAGTTTGGCCTATTTGTCAAGGGTTCACTTTGCCGAATAAGCCGAATGAAAATTTGTTTTTGCAGTAAGT